AGAGTGGGAAGCAGAACAGCCAGGTCTACTGAAATCCACTGCTGAGGGGAGCAGCAGGGAGACAGGAGAGGTCTGCTACGCCCTGGGGGTCACTCCCTGGCGGGGTCTTTAACCCCTGTGCCACCAGAGAGGCCCAACACAGTCGTTTAAACCCTTTCATCCCAGTCATTACAGTCCCAACTCCCAGAAATGTGCTGGCAGCCCCATCAACCTATTGGCTTCTTCCAGCCCGGCCTCCGCTCTGCGCTGCACAGCTGCCTCTCCGCCTCAGCTCTGTCCCAGCCTCTGCCTTGGGCCAGTCACACCAGGTCACATCTGTCCTTTCAGGTTCACAGGACGTGTGTGACCTTCCACAGGAGCCCAGTATCGCCCTGTTTCTAAGACTAGACACTTGACACACTACAGGTTTTGTTCTGAAGTTTGTTATTTCTTCTCTCTGTAGCTTATTTTTTAAATGCTCTTACTGGCTTTGTCTGCTTGGGTCCAGAGTAGGCTGTCAGGGGCAGCCCCTTGGGGGGCTTCCCCAGTGAAGGGGTGTTCCTTGGGCCTCCTGCCAGGGTAAATCACTGGGAGCTTTTGCGTGAGAAAAGACCTGGCTGACCCAGAAGGTGGGATTTATAAATAGTCCTCAGCCCCACTCCTTAAAGCTTGTCCACCTAATCCTCTCCTCCTTCAAGATTGGAGGTGATTTGACCTTTGAGTCTTAAAACGTGACCCTGTTTCTCTGAAAAACCTGGTCAGAAAAAAAAACACTGAAAAGAATGTTTTCAGCCCAGTGCCGGCCACCCACTCAGCCCCACCCCCACCCCCCTGCCCCGGGCTTCCATGTCTAAGGGGCAGTTTTTCACATCGTCATTTTAAGGCACCTACCTCAGTAGTTCTTCTTTCTTTTACTAATAGGCTGTCGTAGATTTGTGTTCTTGGGATTCATAAAAGGGCTCCCGGTAGCTACATCTCATCCATGAACCAAGTGCCTCCTTCCTTTTGATTCCTAAAATAACAGGACTTTGAGGGGCTCTAAATTAACCACCACCCCAACATCACAGGGAAGAGCATTTCTCCAATTTTGTGTTAATTAGGATAAAACCTCACAGGCCTTGTTAGGATGCTAAAATGAAGCCTGAGAAAGACAGTGATAGACAGTTTTCCAGGTTAAGGGACAGGCCAGAGATGCCTAATTGTTGAACTTTTTTAAATTATATTTTCCTTAAAGATAATCAGTTCAGTTCTTAACCTGATTACTGATAAAGACAAGAGATGCTTAAGTTCGGGCGGCAAACTACATATTTTTAGCAGTTTTTCTCCATTGCTTTAAAATGGAGGAAACTTCAACTCTGTCCATTTACCCTCGGAGAGAAGCCACCAGGAAAGTTCCCTTTACCCCCGAAATACTGAGGTCGCTTGTGCGCCCAGGCTTTGGGTGGCTGACCCACACCAGAGGCAGGAATGCCTTTTCTGGAAGCCAGAAGATCTGATCCAGCTGTTGCTTTGTAAGGGCAGCCCCTTCTCCAAGACCTTTCTTGACCTGGTTTTGTAGAATGTCCCACTTGCATGCAGCCCTGGGCTTTAGAAGTAACTTGACTTGTTTAGGAAGGTCTGACGTCTGCAGAGGAAGAACCAACAGCACAGAGCCGGCTGGGTCTGCTGGAGCGCAGACCCAGTGTCGTCTGGAGCGCAGGCTTCAGTGGCTGTCACGGTTCCGTCCACACCTGAGCAGGGAGCGTGTGGCTGGCTCCAGCGCGTGGTGTTTTAGGTGTCCCACTGACTGAGGAAGCTTTCCCTTCACAGACAGAGCCCAGGCACAGGTCAGCGTGTCTGCAGTAACTAGAACTGTAAGACGTCACCTGAGCACGCAGCACTGTGACTTGCTGTTGAATGTGGAGTTCAGGCATAAGCCGGGAGGGAAAGCCAGCTGCTGCAGCAGCGTCGGGCTGCGAAAGGGGGCTCGCGGGGAGAGCGCGTCAGGGTGCACACAGGCACAGCTGGCGCCCCCAACACGGGCCTTGCCGGGAACCCGATGATGCTTTCAGAGAGCTCGACTGGCTCACTGTGGTTGTCTTTGGCAACTTTTATTAGCAGCAAAACCTAGAAAGACTCTCCAGAGGGTTTAACGTGGTGCTGTGGCACCGTAACGGTGCTCGCACCCTGTGCGGTTTGGGGTGCTCCGCTACAAGCTGCCAGCACCAGCTGGAAGGGACCCTGGGCTCTCAGAACTGACTGGCCCTTCAGGACCAGCCCTGCAGCAACCACCCCCTGCCCCACCCTGAAGAGCTCCTCAGTGACCACAGCTCCAGGGCCCGGACAGCACCCCGCTCCCAGACAGTCCCACGCCGACCCCACGCTGGACCAGGGCCAGGGGAGAGGAGGACCTGGATCCCTGGGTGCTGTCGTTCAAAGCGGCCACTGCCTCCCGTGGGAGGAGGGAGGCGGCGGGGCAATGTGGGAAGAGGGCTTGGTGACCAGCCGCCACAAAAGAAAAAGCGCGCGTGTAAACCATCCCTGTGGTCCGACCTGAAGCCCCGTCGCTGCAGGTGTGGGCAGACTTCTCAGTGTGGCCTCCGTGGTTCCATAGTATTTCCTTTTTTTATTTAAGATTTATGTCTGCATACAGAACTGGGGTACAGGCTAGAGGTGCAGGAACAGTGAGAGGCTTCACCAGAGACAGAGTGGGGAGCAGAACTGGCAGATCAGTGAAGCACTGAGGGGAGCAGCGGGCGGGCCAGGAGAGGTCTGCTGTGCCCTGTGGGTCAGCTCCGGGCCGGGATCAAACTCACACTGCAGTGGCTGTGCCTGACCTGCAGTGCTGAGCCTTAACCTGTTGCACCACCAGGGGAGGGCCCCTTGATAGTATTTTCTTAGCCATTGTTTTTTTTTAAAAAAAAAAAAAAAACCCACCTTGCAATTCCTTTTCCAGACTAGACTTTATTGTGAAGTCTGTGGGCGTCGTTTGGAGGCGCAGGGCTACCGGCAGGGGAGCCACCCTCCTGTCCTCTCTCCCAGTTCCTGCTCCCCAGGAGACGCCGGTGCTCCCACCACGGTTTTCTAGGAGCACGCTGTCACTGCCTGGGCATGTCCCTTTGGGGCATTCTTACACCTCCCGCTGTGAAAATGAGTGTGTTCATCTCCACACTTCACCCCCGACCGCACAGATACACTCCTCTCCCCCGTGACGCGTAGCCCCTCAGGGCCAGGGTGGCGCTGCTACGTGGGGCCATGGGGACCCCGGGACTGCAGCTGCCGGGGCAGGCTCCGATGCGCCCCGATGCTGGCAAGGGTCTTGTTCTGTACGCATTTGCTTAGGTTTCCCTTCTCATAAATTTAACCCCGACACCCCTTCTTGCATGCATCACCCCAGTCTCCTTTCCACACAAGCGCAAGCCTGTGAACTCCGCCCTCGTGAGGCCACCCTCCTGGGTTCTGAGCTGCTCCGGCTGTGCCCCAGCCAGGCCCCAGCCTGTGAGAGCACCAGCGTCCTGGGGTCTCTTCCCGATCTCCCGTTTCGCCTCTTCCATTCCTGAGTCTCCTGTCATCCTCGCCTGGGCCTTCCCTGTCATTTCGAAGGAGGCGCTGTGGATTGGTTTCTAGAGGAAGTACGAGTTGGTTAGGAAACCACTGGGAATTCCCTAGAATTGTTTAGGGCTCATTTCCCTGGGAAGCTTCAAGTCGCGGCCTCGTCTTCTCCCTGCGTCCCTCCGTGGGAGCCCGATTCACCCCGGTTCTCCCCCATTCCGATAGCGACCCGCCGAGCCAGCTCGCCTGTCTCAGGAGGCATTGCTTGGGCCACCCGAGTCCCATGACGGACCCGTTGGGCCCCAGGTCGCAAGGGCAGGGCTGCTCGCCGCGGCCGCCGGTCCCGCCTTCCCCTCGTGCCTGCCGGACTCGACAGCTCTTGAACTGATGTTCAGTTTTGTTTCTTTGCCCCCATTTCCTTGCCCGTTGCCTTTTCGCTTTTCTTTCTTAGAGAATGCCCACGCTTTGTTCTCCAGCCCTTGCATTGAGTTCTTTGGTTCTGCTATCGAGACATAGTTTTGTGCAGTTCTTTTTGTTCTCTGAATGTTCTTTTTATAGAGGTGGTGTTATTGACTTACGTGTTGCACAGCAAGCCCTGCAGAAACTAGAAACTACAAATCCTGAAGCTCGGAGGCATTTTCTGACTGACAGAGACTGTTGGCCAACCTCAGAGGTCGTAATCTTTTTTAAAAGATTTATTTATTTATGCACACAAGAACTGGGGCACAGACCAAAGGAGCGGGGGTGAGAGGATTCCCCAGAGACAGAGTGGGGAGCAGAATAGGTGACTCTACTGAAACTCACTGCTGAGGGGAGCAGCGGGGAGGCAGGGGAGGTCTCTGGGCTGTGTGGTCCCTCCCTGGCCGGGAAGCGAACTCGCGCTGCAGCGGCTGCGGACAGCTCCACAGTGCTGCGCCCTGACCTGTTGCGCAGCCAGGGAGGCCCTTGTTGTGCCCCTTTTTTAAGTTTGTATCTTCCTCTGCAGTGGTTTTATTTTTTCCCCTCACCTAAAATTGCTTTTAACTCTGCCTGGAAGCATCTTTCATGGCGTGTGCTATCCTGAGTCTCTGCGGACCCTTGCTGGTCCTTGGTGGTCTCATACTTCAGAGCAGGACACTAAAAGCTGCAGTCTGGGGATGAGGCCCGCAGACTGTGACCTCCCTGTGGGGGACCTGCCTGCGCCCCTTCCCGGTTCCCTCCCACTTCTCTTTCCTTAGGTCTTTTTTTGTGACCAGTCAGATTCCGTTCATTTTCTAGTTCTTTCTTGTACTTTCTAGACATGTAGATCAATTTAGCTCACTTGCTCGCTCGCTCTCTGCTTGTTCCTTTAGATGTCTTGGGCTTGTCTCACGTCTTAGCTGCACTCACGAGCTCAGCAGTTCGGCAGACTTGCTCAAAACTAAACAGCAGTTGGCAGTTGCAATCTGAGACCTGGAGTACAAAACAGGAGTCACTTCAGTCTCTTATTTTTCCTTAATATATTTGATCAGAAATTGGATGAACCTTCGGGATGCTGAGACAGGGAAGATACTGTGGCAGGGAACAGAAGACCTGTCCATCCCAGGCGTGGAGCACGAAGGTACTTGGCCTGCACGGGGGCGCCCTGCAGCAGGCCAGCGTGGCGCGGGGCTCAGTCCACACAGGCCTCCCAGCGGGCAGGCCTCGGCGCTCACCTGTCGCCTGGTGTTGGCGCGTCATGTCCACTTCACTCTGCCACTTCCAGAAACACTTTGTGTTGAAATCCTTGTATCAGAAAATCCCAATGATATAAACTAAGATTCTGCTTCTCTTGCCCAAAAGAAAATTTTCACTTTTATCTCCATGCAATAAAGGGAAAGGAAAGGATTGAAAACAGCAGGACAGAGGGGAGAAGCGCCCCGCCGCCCTCCTGATGGGAGAACCCCAGACACCAGACCTGGTGTCCGACCGCCCTCAATGCCCTCACCAGTCAGGGCCTCGCCTTCAATTAAAAAGTGTGGTTCTGCTACCCAGGCAGTCTGTGTTCTCTAAACCTGTAAGAGGCTTCCAGAAGCTTCAAACGCCATAGTCCTGTGCATTTCATCTAGAATGGCTTCAGTGTTTCTTTTTCCTTCTCAGCCCGTGTTCCCAAGAAAATCCTCAAGTGCAAGGCCGTGTCTCGAGAATTGAACTTCTCTTCCGCAGAGCAAATGGAAAAATTCCGCCTGGAACAAAAAGTTTACTTCAAAGGGCAATGCCTAGAAGGTATCCTGCTGCCTGCTCGCCTGAAGCCAGGGTGTGGGGCAACTGGGCCCCGAGATGAGAGCCAGTGGGCTACAGCCAGCTTTGGCAAGGCTGGTCTCGCGACCCAGGTGGGGACTAGACTCCCGCTGCCAGGGAGGGGCCAGCAGAAACGCACCCAGATGGGACGCTCCGGGGACTCTGAGCCCAGCAGAGGGGCCTCTGACAGCAGCCCAGCTGGCGCCCGCCTGTCCGCTGGCCGGTGCCGTATACTGCCTGGCAGGGGCGCAGGAGAGTCACGAGCGCAGCCCTGGAGCTCAGAGTGGAGATGCCCAGTGACTGCCTGTCCCTATGCCATAACGAGCCTCCAGGAGGCCTCCCTGGCAGCGGCCCCTGCGGCACGGAGGACAGGCAGGGAGCCGCCTCACCTTTCCTGGGCAGGTGCGCACAGGGCAGGAAGAACCTGAGACTATCAGGATTCCCGCTCATCCACTTTCCCTTCTTCCTTCAGAGTGGTTCTTCGAGTTTGGCTTTGTGATTCCCAACTCCACAAACACCTGGCAGTCCCTGATAGAGGCAGCCCCGGAGTCCCAGATGATGCCAGCCAGTGTGCTAACGTGAGTGGGCAGGCTGCGGGGATGCGAGGATCTGCAGACAGGCGCGCCACGCGGGGGGCTCGGCACTGTGAGGGCTGCCCTGGGTTAAAAACAGGATCGAGGCCCTCCCTGGTGGCGCAGCGGGTTAAAGCACAGCACTGAGAAGCTGAAAACAGGATCGAGGGTCTCCCGGGTTCCCAGCACACAGGTCATGGCCTCTGTCCCGGGGCGAGGGCAGGTGCTGGCACCCAAAGATTAAAACTTGGGGCTAAGCTCCGGATCCCCCTACTGACAGTGTCATCTTAGACAGTGTGTCCCTCCGGGCCTCTCCTCCTCTGGAAACGCGAGGCGCAGCGGGGCCACGGTGGTGCTCGGGAAGGGGACGGGCGGCCACCCTGTCAAACTGTTCGACTGTGTGAATTTACTCCCTGACGAACGAGCTCTGGGCTTCAGCCTTTGTGTGAAGGCTGTGCCTGACCAAAGCCTGAGGCGGGAGGAGCGAGAATAGCTGTGATAGTTCTTCAAAGGGCAGCTTTGCTTCCTACTCAAGGAACAATTTGTGTTTTGTCCAAAAGCACTGTCAACAACTACCCAGCTACCATTTTGCTTGAGAAAGAGAAAGGTTTATTAACGTGCCTGGCAAGGAGTGATTTACACAGAAACTGTGAAGGTGGGATGTCTCTTCACACAGGTCTCTTCTGCAAGCCACACTGAATTTGCCAATACTTGCTTTATTTTCTATAATATTTATTTATTTCTGCATACAAGAACTGGAGTCCAGGCCAGAGGTGCGGGAGGTGAGAGGACTCATCAGAGACAGAGCGGGGAGCAGAACAGGAACAGGCAGATCTACTGAAATACTGCTGAGGGGAGCAGCAGGGAGATGGGAGAGGTCTGCTGTGCCCTGGGGGTCCCTCCCTGGCCGGACACCGAACTCGTGCTGCAGGGGCTGCGGACAGCTCCACAGGGCTGCGCTTTAACCCGTCGCACCACCAGGGAGGGCCCAGTACTCGCTTTATGTTATCTCAGCCGCTCACTCTGACCTAGTTTATACATCTATCAGCTGTTCATTACCGGGAAAGTGCCGTGTACGTCAGAAGGTGCTCGGTAGACGTTGTTAGCCTGCATGTGACTTCCCAATCAGGTCTCCCCTCCAGGCACCACAGCCCACACACTGATGGTAGCATAGTTAGGTCATTCGTCATACCTTACTTGGAAATCCAAACAACAGCTCCTTGTGGCCCTTCACTCTGCCCAGCAGTGGTTCTGTGGACACACTGAGCCCCACCAAGGATCCCGTGCAGGGTACCAGCGGGGCCATGGCCACAAGCCCTGGCGACTGACTGTGGGAAGCGAAGAGGTAGAGCCAAGGCCCGGAGCAGCTCCTACCCCTAGGTGCATGCCCTGGTGGGTGGCCCCCGGAAGGCTTCTGCATAGGGGAGAGTCTGGTGGGCCCACGTGACATCCTGGGCCCATCCCTGTGCCATGTGAGGGACAGGGTCACTAGACCGACCCACGGCTAACAAAGAGGTGGCTCCTCAGAAGTGAGGACAAGAGGCAGGGGAGCGGCCAGCCCACTCCAGGGAGTCGGCGCAGGAGCCATGTCACTGCCGGGACTGCGGTTTGTATTTAGAGCAGGCCCTGTTCTCCGTGTGCGTCCTGCCATGGCCCTGACGTGCCCTGGGAGCCGAGGGGTGGCCTCCTCTGGCTTCTGAACGAGAGGGCACAGGCCAGTCACATAAGTGGCGTCGTGTCAGGCCCCACTGCAGGGATGCCAGTCCCGTGCCCCGGGCAAGGTTCTGGGTGGGTGCGTGTCCACAGGCCCAGCAGACCAGGTGGAGGCCACCGTGGGAACCACTGCCTTGCGGCCGGAAACGCTCACGCGCTTTCTCTGCCTTCTCTTCTCACTTACAGTGGAAACGTTATCATAGAGACAAAGTTTTTTGACGACGATCTTCTCGTAAGCACATCCAGAGTGAGACTTTTCTACGTTTGAGAGAAGAATGTGTGTGCATTTCAAGAATTTGGGTTTGGGGGGGAGGAGGAAAGTGTTTACTTTTACCTCCACACATCTGATTTTTGACACCTCCACCCCTATTTCCCTCTGTGGCAAAACCCCCCTGGCCACCGGGGACCAGCTCTGCGTAGTGATCGGAGGCTTCCCCCCGCCGCCATCTTGCCCTGGCCCGCCTAGCCCCCAGCCCAGGCCAGGGCAGGGGCGTGCCTCAACTCCTTCCAGTGCCACCCTGCGGGCAGATGTTCACCCGCCAGCCGGCGCTGTGTCCGCACCTCCCTGCGCCTCCTGGGCTCTGCAGGTGACGCCTCTTCCTTGGGCCCTGGTTTTGGAAAAATTGACGTTCCTGACCCAGTTTAGTTTTTTCCTACATTTCTATTTCATACATTCTCATACATTTAACTTGTAAAATAGACTGTGATATTATTATTACATAATGAATTAAAACATATGAATTAAAAGATTCCTACAGTCTTTAGCATGGCACTGCCTTCGCTCTCCTTTCTGGAACCTGAACCTGCCTCCAAAATGGGAAGGACGTGCTCAGACGTAGAACCACACTACAACTGCTATGCTGTGCTCCAGAAGGCGTGTGGTGGCCTGGCGGCCCCTGACTGCCCCGTTTCTGCTCTCCCAGGGTGGACAGACTACCTGGACAAGACCCGTGCGTGACCTTCCGCTTGCCTCCACCGCGCGCACCTGGCGCTGTGGTGGCCTAGACTTCACCACTCCTTTATAGTGTGTGTTTGTTCGAGAGGTGTCTAGTGGGTGGAAGCCCTAAGTCGGTAGAGTAGGGACTCTTAAAACCCCTAACTGAGAGGGAGAAGTCGCGCGATGGAGAGACGGTCTCCGTGAGCTTAACGAGTGGGGTGCGGGGCCGCCTCAGGCCACAGCTGGGCCAGCGTGGGAGACAGCGGATTGCGTCTGCAGCGGCTCCAGGTCTGACGAGAGAAAACAAGAGGAGCAGTAGGGACTTGCCTGCGAGCCACAGTAGCCTTCACGCTTTAGAAAAGGCCAACTATGAAGGTCCGTTCCCCCAGTGGTGGCACGTCTGAGGCAGGGCAGGGGCCGCACCCGAGCTGGGCCCACCTCGCGGCTCTCCCCTGCACCTTGCCAGTCCACCTCCGAGGCTCACGTCTCCTCCCCGCCCCCCAGACACATCTGCACATTCTAGGAGAGTCCCTCCTGCCGTTGCCGCCGTGGACTGGGCCCACGCCAGTGGCCTGAGGACTTGGGGGTGTTTCCGCCGGCTTCGAGCCTCCTCCCCTGCCCCTCTCCGCTCGCCGCCAGCCACAGCACGTTTGGCAGCTGCTCCGAGAAAACTAAAGGAACTTGAGCCCGTTCGTTGCTGGAACGCGCCACCTCCCCAGTCCCCATCCGCATGCGCGGGAGGTAGCCCCCTCTCACACGACGCCGCTGCGGAGAGGACTCCAGGCGCTGCAGGCTGTAGCCGAAGGCCAGGTGGAAACGGGCAGAACACCCGCGCGGCAGAGGCCGGGACCCTGGTAGGGCCAGGCCAGCCCTGGCAGGGGCAGGGGTGCAGGTCCAGGCCTGCACCCCATTGGTTACACGGATGGATGGCCACGAAAAGTTGTTGGAAGCAGAAGTGCACGCTCTGGGCCGGCTCGCGGGCGCCCTGTCCTCACGTGGCCCTGGGCCTGGCCACTCCCCAGGGATCTTGACTCAGATGCAGCGCCAGAAATCAGTATCCGCCCCCAGGGGCCCCAGCTGTAGGCGGCCAGCCAGGCTTGGGGGGTAGAGCGAGGGCCTTGGACAGTGTGGAGAAGCCTAGGAACTCGGAACCCACCTGCGCCCCAGCCCCGTTCCCCAGCACCGCGGGAGGAGCAGAGCTGGCGCCGTCTGCCCTGTGCGGGCCGAAGGTGCCTCTCGGACTCGGGGCACCCACGGGAGACTGCAGCTGGCGAGGAGAGGAGGGGCCCCAGCCAGCACGGCGGGGCCCTTGGGAGAACCTGCAGCCGCTCCAGCCTAGTTTCTGGCGGAGACGCTGGCTCGCTCCGCTGCCCGACGGCGCTGCGCCGCACTGCCCTGGTGGGGGAGGCGGCCTGCGCCCCCTGGGGTGGCGGTGGAGGCGAAGTCCACCAGGCGGTCTGTGCACACAGACCACACCCCAGGTCTGTGCCGTGTCACCGGAGGCCGGCCTGCCTCGACAGCACCTTAGCCTGGGACAAGGACAGGTGGGCGTTTCAAGGGCGGAGCCATCACACACTCAGACAGTCAGGAAGCCTCTCCGGAGCCTTCCACTCGACCTACAAAACATGTTCAAGCCGACCCCCAAAACTTAGAGGTCAGCCTTCCTGTGCTCCTCCCCCACCTTCTCGCTGGGCGCAAACTGGCTGGCACTGTGCACTCGCCCCTCCCGCTCACCGACTCATCACTGCTCTCCACCCTCCGCGCCTCCTCCCCGTGGGTGCCTCCTTGAACCCCATGCTCGGCCCCTCCCCTGCTCCTTCCTGCGCTACCTTTTGGGTCCTTTTATTTCTGATGTCTCCTGGACAGTGTCTCCTGGGGGCCCGAGGGGCCTGCTCCCTGCAGCTGCCTTGCCCGCGCCTGTGGGTGGGTTTCCTTTGTGTTACTTTCTCTGTGGGATGCTGAGAACGGGCGTGGGCAGGTTCATTAGGCATCTGCTGCACGCGTGTTTTGGGGGACAGCTACATGCCCCTGTTCTAAATGGGGGAGAGGCTCGCTGGCCAGAGGGTCCCTGCCTTCAGCTTCTCGTGGGAGGCGGCAGGAAGCAAGTGAATGACGTCAGACCGCAGCCCCGCGGCGCGAGCACCGACATCAGCGTGGTGAAGCGGTGAAAGTCCTGCCAGTGCAGGTGAGGAGACCGAGTCAGTGTTGAGCTTTGCTCCCCCAAACTCGCAGGCCCATCCGTCTAGAAAATCAGGCTTCGTTTCAAAGCAAAGCTCTGCTAACCCATTCAACTGTCCAGCCAAGCAAGAACCCCCAGCCTGGGGGGCTCAGGCTTACTACAGAGAATTTGGGGAGTAGGAGGTGGACAGAGAAGACCGGACCCCTCCAGTGGTGAAGGCTGGAGAGGGGGACAAGGTGCTGATGGCCATCTGGCTTTCCTTCACCCCAGGCCCAGGTGTGGGGGGTGCAGGGAGGCCTGGAAACATCTGTTAAGCTCTGGGGAGAGCTGAGAACTGCCCGGAGACCTGCTCCCTGGAGGTGGGTGTGCCCTGAACACCGCCTCGGCTCAGGACTGGGGTCTGGGCCCCCACCCCCACCCCGCGCTCTGACCCCTCCCCCCACAGATGTCATCTGCTCCGAGCCCTGGGTCCTGGGCAGTCTCTAGAACGTCCTGTGAGCGCCCTCCAGTGGTGCAAGGGGTTAAGGAGCAGTGCTGCAAAGCTGGCCGCAGCCACCTCAGCGTGAGTTCAATCCCCGGCCAGGGAGTGACCCCCAGGGCACAGCAGACCTCTCCTGTCTCCCCACTGCTCCCCTCGGCAGGGGGTTTCAGTGGATCCGCCTGTTATGCTCCCCACTCTGTCTCTAGGGAATCCTCTACCCCCAGTACCTCTGGCCTGCACCCCAGTTCTTGTATGCATAAATAGATACATCTTAGAAAACCCTTTGAATGTTGTTTGACCCAGCAGTAGCCATATGAGACAAACCTCAGCTCCGAGGTGCCCGTCGGTTCGGAGTGTGCTGACAGGCGGCGGCGGCGCCTTTACTCGGCGGCCTCACAGAACCAGCAAGTGAGGGCGAGACTGTGACCACGGGGCACCAGGGGCAACTCAGCAAGGTGGGGGGTACAGAGGGCCAGCACTGTTACAGAGCCGAATCTCCATAAAGGGGGGCTCCACGGCCAGCCCCACCTAGTGAAGGGGCGCCAGGGAAGGGCCTGGCGCAGGCGGCACGTGGAGCAGACGCTGGAGGCCGAGGGGCGGCCGGCCGCTGTGCCCTCCCTGACCGCTGCCCTCCTCCCGGGCCGGCCGCCCCTCCTGCCCTTCCTGCGGCTCCCGCCAGGAGGCGCCACAGACCAGACCGGGCACCTGCCGGGCCGCCTGTGTGGCTGGGCTCTGGCCCCGGAGTGTGGGTCACTTGGGGCTTTAATTGGGAAACGCTTCTTCTTTCTTCGCTCCCTGAGCATCTCCACGGTCCTTTGAAGCGCTCTTGTGCGCAGAGCACTCTGTTTTTATGTGGCAGATGGCAGGACCCATTTAGAGCAGGCAAGTGTGTGCGTCCTGGGGTGCGCCTCAGTCTGCACCCCACCAGCGGGCCAGAAAAGAGAGAAAGGGGCTCTGTTCTGCTCCCCACTCTTGCAAGGGAGAAAATGAGCAGCTCAATGACCCTGGACCACCCTCCCTATACGGGAACAAAAACCTGCCACCCCAAAACATGTCTTTGGCAAGAGGCTTATTTCTTGAGAAAGGCGGAAAACTTGGGTAGACGTTGTTGGGTGTTTTTTTTTAAGTTTTGATTTTCATGCATACAAGAACAGGGGTGTAGGGTGTAGGCCAACGGCGTAGAGGGGGAGAGGATTCAGAGACCGTGGGAGCAGAACAGGCAGGCTGACGGGAATCCACTGCTGAGGGAGCAGCGGGGAGACAGGAGAGGCCTGCTGCGCCCTGTGGTCCCTCCCTGGCCGAGGATCGAACTCGTGCTGCAGTGACTGCAGGCGGCCTCCCGGGGCTGTGCTTTAACCCCTCGACCCCTCGAGCCACCAGTGAGGACCTAGACTTTTTTTTTAAGATTTGTTTATTTATTTGCGCATACAGAACTGGGGTACAGGCCAGAGGCTCGGGGCGGTGAGAGGATTCACCAGAGACAGAGTGGGGAGCAGAACAGGCAGATCGATGAAGTCCACTGCTGAGGGGAGCAGCGGGGGGCCCAGGAGAGGTCTGCCGCGCCCTGGGGTCAGCTCCGGGGCAGGCGGGAATCGAACTCGTGCGGAAGCAGCTTCAGCTTCTCAGTGCTGCGCTGTGACCCGCTGCGCCCCTGGGCGGGCCCGACGTTTCTGACGTTATTTGAGCTTCTCCGTGGCGGGGCCTCTCCCGATCACCGACTCCCTTTACCTCACAGCGGGGCCGGCAGAAGTGTCTGTCTCCGGACAATGCCGACGCCAACCCTAACCCCAAGCGCGCTGTGGCTGAAGACGCACGTGGAGCCTGACGGGTGAGTGACCGGGCAGGCCGGCGTCCGTCCTGTGGACAGGGCGAGACGGGCCGCAGGCGACTTGTGGCTTTTTCTCTCCATCCGCTGCGCTTGCTGGATTATCCGCCGGCGGCACCACCGGGAGGCCCACCTCGGCCGACGGGCAGTGGCGCGACCGTCTCGGGCTCCAGGGCCGCGTCGCCTCCCGCTCCCTGTCAAGCTGGAGCCGCACGAGGGGGGCCCCAGGCGCCCCCGCCCAAGCGGTCTGCGGGCGAGGCCGCCTGGGCCTGGAGTCTGGGCCGCCCCGGCACGACAGGCCCGAGCGGAAGCAGCGGCCTCAGGAGAGCGCCTAAGGGGACGCTCCAGAAGCCCAGACGGCTGCAGGCGAGGCTGGACCCAGACGCTCAAGCTGGTCAGAACTGGGGGCTCCTCCGCCTCTCGGCTCCCGCTGCCTCCGTCTGTGCGGGCAGCAGTCACAGCCCGTCCCTCAGCCGCGTCCCCACGGGGCCAAGACAAATGTTTCTCTCCCTCCCAGCAACCCAAGAGGGAAAAACAGGGCTCACTCTGATTGGATGGGCGTGGGTCACGTGCCCGGCCTGAACCAATCAGCACGGGCCTCTCACAGCACTGCCTGGTCGGGCAAGTCACGTGTTTCCCACTAGGCCCTGAGAGTGGGGGAGGGGAGTCCTCCGGGAGTAAAACGACACGGTGGCAGAAGGGTGCTGCCAAGAGGTGGGCACTGGCGTTGCTGCTGGGGACAGTTGCAACAGCTGTCTCTGGTACCTTCTGGAATCCTCAGCAGCAGCTCCTTGCTGTAAGGGGCCTGTTTCCTGCCAACGGCCTCGCATCTGGGCCTGGGCCTGGGCCTGGGAAATGAGGTGTCGCCAGTGACCAGCTGGCACGTCTTGCTGGGGCAGCAGGCAGCCCCGGAGAGCGTGTCCCCTCCAAGCTGGGTCCCTCGGCTGTTTGAGACGTCAGAGCCCACTCCAGCCCCTGGGTCTCCTCCAAAACTAAGGCCTGTGTGGCTCAGCCCGGGTAGAAGGCCAGTGGCCCAGGCCACCTGTGGCCACTCGAGGCTGTTCCCTAATTTGCATTCTCAGCACCTCACTGACTGCAGACTGGCCCCTATCAGCCTAGTTGGGGGTCAGCGGGGAGGGCCTGGAGCTGGTGCCCCCTTCCCAGCAGGCCCTGCCCGTGGCTAGGGGGAGGACAAGCACCCCCATGTAAAGCTGGGTCCTGGCAGCAGCACCCACTGGCAGGAGAGACCACGGGGCAGCCAGGGGCCTGTGGCAGGTGGGGTATCAGGGCTCTCCCTGCGGGGTGGGAGCCCAGAGGCTCTAGGCCGGGCAGCGCCGGCAGTGGAGCGCCAGGGCACGCCTAGGGCAGCCCCCGGTGGCTCAGTCAGGGCCCGCAGCCCCCAGCCCACAATTCCAATCAGCCAAAGCCCTGGCGCTGCACTCACAGCCACCATGCAGATGTGAGCAGCCCTAGTAGCTCCCAGAGGTGCCCAAGAGCCGGGCCTACCCCAGGAGGGTACATTTGAACAGAGCTGAGCAAAGAGAGCTAGGAGGACCGAAACCCAGGGAAGGCCACTGACCCCCGAGGAGCCAGCTGCCCCCTCCAGCAAAAGAAGCTGCAAGTCCCTGGGAGGGAACATTTGCTGCCCAGAGGAAAAGCTCTGGAAATGACCACTGACTCATGTCTGACTGGGGTTCCAGCAACAGAGAGGACTGAAGGTCTGTGGGAGGCAGGTGGTGTTGAGGCTGTGTCCCCTGGGGCCAGGGCCCACCCCAGAGCTCTATCCTGGGCTGAGCAGAGCCCAGGGGAGAAACTGCAGGTCCTCTGTGTCCACCAGAGGGCGCCCGACCCTCGCAAATCTTCCAACTTGGGTCCTGGTTGGCCAGTCCTTGCTCTGGGGGAGGACTTCAGGAGTGGGCGCAAAGTGACTCTGGGCCCTGAGGACAGGCCCCCCATGGAGCAGCTGGTCAAGGGCTGGGCTCAGGGCTAGAGGAAAGTGGATTTGTCCAAGGGAGCAAGGGCTGTCCTAGATCAGACCTTTGGTAGAGTAGGGAGAGTGGCTGGGACACAGTACACGCACACCTGGGACCCAAAGGAAGGCGGCCGTGCTCCGCAGCTATGCCTCACACTGCCAGGCCCCCGGTGCAGAGCGCGTGATTGAGACCCAGCTGGGTCTGGCTACTCGCTGCCCATGAACACGGCTGCCATGTCTGTCTGAATGCAGCTAAGCTGCTCCCTCCTTTCTGAAAATTTGGAGTAGCATTTGGGAGCAGGGCCACAGCCAGGGGCGTGGGCCCACCCGAGGCCACATGTGTGTTGCCTGTGGTCTTCCTGCTCCTTTCCCTGCCTCAGAGACCCCTCACGGGCTGTGGCCTTGGGGACATGGCAGGACTGCGCAGCACGGTAGCATGATCCGGCAGCCAGTCTTACTCAGAAGCCTGCGGCCCTGACCATGCTAGGGGCATCTGGTGGGCACATAGGGTCAGAGGGCCCCTCCCACCAGAGCCTCAACTCTGACCCTGACCCTGGCAGCAGCCTGGAGACAGATCCACAGAGACAGACAGCCCAGGGCCTCCAGCCACTCTGAAGGGCGATGCCCTCCCTAAACAGACGTTGGGTAAGGCCGCAAATGAGGCATGGCCCTGGCTGGTCAGGGAGAGGGCCAGTCTGATTCCTTCCTGTGCCTCTGAACTTAGGGGCCACCTGATACCAAGAGCATCCAGTACCCACGAGGGAGGCCTCAGAACAAGTAGGGAGCAGTCTGAGGCAGCTGTTCCTGTGGCAGCAACAGCCAGTGCAGAGGCCCTGAGGAGGACCAAGCCTGCCACTGCACACAAGGAAGCTGGAGGGAGGCCCCCAGGGGGGTGGGCAGAGGGAGAGGTGGCCTAGGGGTGCTTTTCCTTTTATGGGAGGGACAGGAGCTCCCTGATGCAGCTTGAGCCTTTTCTTTCTCAGTCCCTGCCCTGGCCCACTTTTTTTTTTTTTTTTTTTTTAAGATTTATTATTTCTGCATACAGAACTGGGGTGCAGGCCTGGGGTGCAGGCCTGAGGTGCAGGGCAGAGCCTTCACCAGATCAGAACAGGCAGATCAATGAATTACACTGCTGAGGGGAGCAGCAGGTGGGACAGGAGGGGTCTGCCACGCCATGTGGGTCACTCTCTAGCCACTCTTTTCAGTGGTAGTGGCTCACTTCACAGTGCGACTGCTTTAACCCGTTGTGCCACCAGAGAGGGTCTGGCCCACCTTGTCTACACCTGGGTCTGGGTTATATGGCCCAACCCAGGCTACTCTCCTTTCCTGAGGCAAACAGTGCCTCCCTGTGCCCAGGCTGTGCCGGGCCATGTGGGAGAACTACCTCCATCGTCCCCTCCAAAACCTTGCTGCTTACCCCATGTGATGTCTTAAATGTGCCCCCCTCTTCCTCCCAGCACCTCTTCTTAACCCAGGTCCCAAGTGACATCAGCATGTCACTTCCCCTTAGGGTTACCCAGTTTTGCAGCTTCAGCCTCCTCCATGGCATATCCTAAGCCTCCCTGAGTATGGGGCCCCCAGACTGAGCACCCTCAGCACCCTCAGCACCCTCCTGGATCAGGCCTGCCATGCACCCCCTGCCCTTGCCAGACCTTTCAGCTTCAGCCACCTCCCCCACCAGGCCTGCCCACATATTCAATACTCACACAAGACCCAGGGTAACAAGTGACATTATCTTTAAGGTCCCCTGACTTGCACCCGAGGTCACCTTGCAGACAGATGACACCCTCGGGACCCTCCCAGTCCCAGCTGCAGCAAGTGACTGTCCCTTCTCATACCCAGGGGTAAGTATCACCTGGACCCCCTTAAGACACTGCAGGGAGAAGCCCCAGGACCACCCAGCTGGTGGCGGGTTGGGGACATTTGCACCCCAAGCCTAGGACCCTCCAGAAGGCTGGTAACTCCTGCAGCCTTACACCCTCCCACCCAGAAAAGACCTTGAGCTCTGGAAGCCTGTCCTGAAAGCCTGTGCACCCCAGCATAGCGATCTACCCCCTAGAGAATGGGCATTGTGACTCCAGCTCTTGTGGTTGCCAGATGCCACTCCAAAAGGTTCTTAATGGAGAGCTGGAGTTTGGGGTCTCACTGGCCTCTGCCACCCACAACCTGCCTCTGCAAGCTGGGGATGCCCCTGTCAACCTACCTCCCACGTACAGTACTCCAGGAGTCCACCCTCACTAGCCCAGGCCCTGGTCAGTGGTGGCAGTTGGGTCCCCTGGAAACCAACTTGGGATCTGGGAAGGTGTAGCCACCACTGCCAGGGAGAACCACCTGGTGGCCAAGCTGATGGGGCAACCCGGTCCCACAGGGTCTCAGGTGTGAACCACCCCAGGGCCTCACTGGTCCGAGCCGACATGGCCTGCTGTGCCCAGACAGCCTGGAGCTGTGGGCCCTGTGCCAGGGCCCTTGGCCCACTTGGCACCAAGGATGTGGCATTAGAAGGGACTCCTTCCTCGCCGCCCATGAGGGCCTGGCTCCTGAGGGCCAGCTCTGGTCTGAGGGCCACCCACCGCTCCCTCTGCCCAGAGGGTACATACACCCAACCCCCTTCCAGGCTGCGGTCTCTGCTGGCCGCTGTCCCCACACCACAGGGCCTCGGAGGGGCACCTGCCACCCCTTCCCAGGTCTGAAGGGAAAAAGCGAACACGAAAGACCAGGCTCCAGACAGCTTTGTTAGAACAACTCCGCAAAATAAAATCCTGTTTATTGTTGGACAACATTGTTTCACACATACATCAAACAGGCCAAAAAAAATAAACAGCAACTTCAAATAGACAAAAAGGAAAAAAAGAAACCTTTAATCTTTGGCCTTTTAACCATATCGCATACAAACCAACTACTTATAGTACAGCTAAGTACATACACAAAAAGAACTTACTGGAATGCTCGGAATAAGATTGTTTTTTTGTTGTCGTTTTTGCTTTTTTTACAAGGTTTTTTTTCTCCTTTGAGATTATAATGAACATGGTCACACCACAAGTAAAGTCAGAAGTAGGACAGAGAACGCTCCGAAGGCGGGTTTGGTCATCCGAGATCATTAAAAATGGCTGACCCCTAACAATATGTACAAAAATATAAAATGTAAATAAAAAATACAAACAAATTTTCCTTTTTAAAGTACTTTTAAGAAAAAAAGCAGGGCCTTGGAAGTTTTGGTTCTTTTCTCCCGTTGCAAATTCAGTTGTGGTTTGGTTGGGTGGTGGCGCGTTGTCGGGTGGCGCTGCCCGGTGGGCGGCCAGCTCTCTACTCGAAGGTGACCACGTTTAGATTCTGAGACGGGAAGTGGAGGGTGATAGGTCACGGCGGCCTTTTTTAAGTTTAACTTTCCTCTTCTGCTGTCTAGTCGTCCTCGTCGGTCTTCTGCTTCTTGGTGTCCACATCGTCGTCCTGGGCAGAGGGGGTGTCAGGCCCGCGGGCAGCGCAGCAGCCCCGGCCCCTCCCCGCACCCCACCTCGCCCAGCCCCGGGCCGGCCCCAGCTGCCGCCCACGCCCGGCAGACCCACCTCGTCATCTTCAGCTGCCCGCTTGCCCGTAGCTGCCTCGGCCTCCTCGTCCTCGTCGCCGTCCTCCTCCTCACCTGAGAATCGGGCCCCAGGTCACCAGCGGCTCTCCACTCCCGCCCTGTGGGACCGGGGCCACCCCCCAGGGCTGGCCGGTGCCTGTCTTCTGAGGGGGAGGAGGGGGCACCTAGGGCCCGCGGCCAGACCCGCCCCAACGCCTCCCCGCTGAGAGCCGCGCGGCCCCACAAGCCAGGTGCGACCCCACGGGCCAGGCTACTCACCGTCGCCTTCCTCCTCCTCCTCCTCTTCCTCCCCGCCCTCTTCCTCCTCTTCATCTACCTCATTGTCGGCCTCCTGCTCCCCATTCTCCTCGTTCTGCTCAGCACAAAACAGACCAGGTCACGAGGGCCGAGACCTTGCTCGGGCCGAGCCCACCCGAGACCCGCGCCACAGGCCGAACCGGCGCGAGGGGCCCGGCCCCGGACACTCACGGCGTTCCCGTTGGCGGGGGCGTCTCTGCCGTTCTCCGTCTCCTCCACAACTTCCTTCTTCTCCTTCAAGTCCTTCAGAAAGAGGAAGCGGTCAGTGCAGGGTGGCCCCGGCAGGTGGCCGCGGCGCGCCCCCAGCCCGCCCCGGC